TTCAATGAACACTAAGCACAAGAAACAAAAAGAACTAAACCAAGACTTAAGATAATCCAATCCAGTAATAAAGAGAAAATTATTAAAAGCAAGTCAACGGGGCATATATAAGAGACATTGTATACAGTAGGACAAAGATAAAGATGAGGGCAGGGGTCTGAGCTGTGGTGTAGTGGGTGAGGCCAGCATCTGCAGTGCCAGTGTTCCATGTGGGCACCAATTCCATCCCGGCTGCTCCACCTGAGATCCAACTCTCTGCTGTGGCCTGGGAGGGCAGTGAGGAAATCCCAGGTCCTTTGGCCTCTGCACCTGTATGGGAGTTCCAGAGGAGGTTCCTGGCTCCTGGCTTCAGATTGGCCCAACTCTAGCCTATTATGGCCATTTGGGGAGTAAACCAGAAGATGGAAGACCTCTCTCTCTTTTCTGCCTCTCTGAAACTATGCCTTTCAAATAAATAATTAAATCTTTAATAAAAAAAATGACAGCAGATTTTTCACCAGAAATAATGCAAGAAAGAAGACAGAAGAGTAGCTCTAAATTATTGAAAGGAAAAAACTTTCAACATAACATTCTATACCCATCAAAAATATATTTTAAAAAAATGAAGTAAAACAATTTTCAGAAATAGAAGATGAGAGAATTCATGTACAGCAAACTTATACTGCAAAATAAAGTATAAGAAGACTTTCAGATGAAAGAAAAATAATATAGACATAGAGATATAAACCAAGGAATAAAGACCTCCAGAAATTAAAATTCCAGAGGATATAATACTTCCAAACTCATTGTATGAAGTAAAAATCAGCCTTCTACCAAAATCAGACCAAAAAATTACAAGAATAGAAAACTGTAGTAGCAGAAAGATCAACGGTTGGGACTTGGGATAGAGAAAGTGGCTAACTGCCAAATGGCTGAGCATCTTTTAGAGGTTATGGAAATTCCAAATGTGTTGAATGTGCTGATGTTTTCATGACTGTCAAATCTCATTCAATAGTATCATTCAAATGAGTACAATTATACCTTGATTGAAGAAAAAAATAAAAAGAGCATATCCCACGGTTACTGTAATTGGGCTCAGACAATCAGCAATCCAATTTCCTTCCAGAATGTTTTCCTGTACTGTAAATGCTACACAATGAAAAAGTCCATTTTCCACACTTCCCCATGGTTAAAGTAATAACTCATCATAGACGCTCACTTGAGATGTTACTTAGGAACAGAATTAAGGTGAAAGAAGGGCCAAGGACAGAGGATGCTGCCTGATGGTATGAACACAGACAGCAGCGAGTCTGGAGTCGCCTGCTTCGTGGTTGTGGCAGAAGCTCCCATGTGGGCCCATTTCTGCTGGGAAGTTTTGTGAGCAGAACTTAGAGATGTGCATAACATCTGTATTTCTATAAGCTAATAATAACAGAACAATACAGTACTTTAAATAGATATTGAATTGTCAACCAGTTTTACCCCCAAACAAGCTAGTCAGCTAGTTTGAGTCCACCCAAATCTACGGTCCTTCTAATTCTCTCTCTTTGTGAGAGACTCCATTTAGATTCCTTCCATGTTTCATAGCTCAAGTCCAATGTGGTTTGTGGAGTCCCACTGTAGAGTTTTATGGTTGGTGTAGATAAATTATATTTCTAACCTATTTCCTATTATAATTTCTAAAATCATTCATGTCCAAATTATTAAAACACAATATTTCTGAATAAAAATTTTGAAGTCAAAAGAACAGTTGCCTTCATTAAGTCCCACGCTGAATTTTATCTTTTTCCTCCCTAATGGAACATCTCAGGGTAACATAGAATTGCCTTCTCAAGTAAGTTCTTTCCATTGACTGTTTCATTGCTTCCATCTTCAGTCTTTCGCATGGTTGGAGAAGGATATTATGAAGAAACAGAGCATCATCTCCTTCTCAATTCTTCTGTCTTGCCAGTTAAACTCTATTTCACTTAAATGAAGACAACTGAATTCTTCCAGCTGGTGCCTGCCCTATATCCTTGTCTCCCCCAGTCTGCCTCCATATGCCTCTCTTTCTGTCTCCATCCACTGTATTTTCTAGCAGTTCTGTTTCTCTATTCCTCTGTCTCCCTCCTTAAAGAAAGCTGTATTTCACAGATGATTTGTGTATCTTGATTTGTTTCTCACCCATCTAAATTTAAACTAAATCTATCGCTTTCATGCAACTGTTTTAAAATACCACAGATGTTAAGGAAATTATCCACATCAGCTTCTTTCCTGCCTTAAAAAATTGTTTCACCATGTGCCAAAACCCAGCAGAGGGCATCCTTCCATTTCAGATGCATGAATAGTTCATGAAAAAGGCTCTACAATTCCCACAATGTATTCCATTTATAATTGTGGATTGGAATTTAAATAAAGGAGCTATTGTAGTGGGAGAGGAATTTGTTACATAAGTTGTTCTGGAGTGTTTGCCATTTTCAATTACAGATTCAGAAGTAACTCTCATTCTATAAGAAAAAAAAGAGAAGGGAAAATTCTTTTTTCTGGATTCTCTCCAAGTTTGGAGCATTACCTTCAAATTACAGAAGCAGCAAGGCAGCACCTGTGCAATGCTTCCTTCCCTAAGCTACCATTTCTAAGCTACCAAGAAAGTGATCACAGAGAAGAAGCAATTGAGAAAGAAGCATGCCTCCTACTTCATTTATCTGTTGTCCTCTCTTTCTATCCCTCCAACTGAAAGACAAATAATAGGACAGGTATCATAGCCTGTTGTATTGTCTCAGAAGTAGGAAGAAGACAAGCAGTTTGGCTTACGGATGGGGAAAAGCATGGTTAAAAGAAATGTGTCATGTGGTGCTAACCGTATACCTCTGTGAGCAAGCAATGGCCCAATAATTTTAATTGTCAGTTTCACAGAAATTGGTAGTTCACAATGGGAAATATCTCACATTGTTAGAATTTTCTCCAAATTAAAAACTAAATGTGCATGGTCATTCAAGTCATGTTCTCCTTAATGTAGTTGACTTTCACAGATCCTTTCTTTAGGAAGAGAGGGACAAAGAAGATGAAGCAATACAGCATAACTCATATATCCAGTCAATGCATATTTATTTGAGCACATTCTTTGTCCCAAGCCCTGTTCTTAATGCAAAGACTGATCAGCAAACAGTAAAAGATCTCTCCCTTCAAGATGATGTGCCAGAAAACAAGGGTCAGGGGTGTCGGAACAGACATAACTTTGACTCCTGCCTCTGTAATAGCCAGTTTTGTCACTTGGAGCAAAGAAATGAAAGTTTCTGTTTTGAAATACAGAGATAATAATTGCTACTATTTATTAAAAAAAGACTTGTTCCAGGCACAGGAACATGTATTATTATGTAAAATCCTCACAGTTAGCCTATGAGCTAAGTTCCAGTCTCATTCTTATTTTACAAATAAGGAAACCAAGTCATAGAGGCACATGACAATTACCAGAGTAGGGGGTTGAAACAAGGCCACCTGACTCCAGTGCTTGCCTCAACTGGTATGCCCTACAAGAGTTGATGTCTATGGGTATTCTGAGTGTAGGATGAGACATCAAGTGTAAAGCTAAGAGCACACTACAGTAGTACTACAATTATTATTGTTATCTCTATTAATACTGTCGTTGTGGTCCTTTTCTGAGAACCAAGAGTATTTAAGTAGATCTTTTGAGAGAGAGACAGAAAAAACAAAGAAACAAAAAGAACAAGCCCATCTACTGATTCACTCGCTAATGCCAGCAATGGTCTGGGCTGGGCATGGACAACGAAGGGGGCTCGGAATTCAATCCAAGTCCCCCATGTCAGTGGCAGGAACCCAATTACTCAAGCCATCACCAATCCCTCCCAGAATCTGCACAAGCAAGAAGCTTCAATTAGGAGATGGAACTTGTGGTGGAACCCAGGCACCCTGATGTGAGATGCAGAGTATATGTTGAACTATACTGTAAAAAGAGGATCAATATTTGCAAATTTCTTTACTTCAGGATGTAGTCTTATGCCCAACTCTGGCAAAATGTAAGATTGCATAACAACATAGATACTGAATTTACAGCTTCTCCACATTTATCTTTCCATGAGATGACAGGCTTCCTCTAATAGCTATGGCTGTAGATATGATATTAGAACACAGATCCCCTGAAAGAAAACATGAGAATCTCATGCTATGGATTTTTCTAACATCCCCTGAAAGCTGACGGTTAAGGCCAAGGTTAAACAAAACAATTCCAAGTATCTATCTGCTGTTTGACAGCCTCTTTGTTCTGTGGCAAGTGATCAAGCGGGCAGCTCCAGAGATCAACAGGTTGAGGGGACCCCTTGGCTCCTGTCTCTCACCCTTTCCAAGTGTACTCTCCAGAGCCCTCTCCTTGGGCTTTTTTCCCAAGCATGTGCATAGATCAATGGGGGTTAATTACACCAAAAGTATCATTCAAAGAGACATGAAACAGGCATGCTTTGTTGCTGTTCTGGGGTTTCTCTCTGCTTACTCTGGCCTGAATTTATGTCTCATACTGCTGCATTACCAAAATCAAGAAAACTTTTCAACAACAGATAGATAAAATGCTGGCTCCAGGTCCCATGTCTTATTGATTTCATTTCAAGACTGTCATCTTAGGTTCATTAGGTAGGAAACAAACTGTTCGATAATGGGCTATAAAAGAATTCGCAAATGTATGTCTTATAAATATTCCATTTTTCTTCCTTGTACTAAAAAGAGCAGTTTTTATTCTGTGTGTCAAGCTTCACTAGGCAAAACTCAAGTCAACTGAACATGTTTAAAAGGGATTCGTATTTGAAAAGGAGTTTCATGCCAATATGCTCCACTGCACTTCAGCAAGGATGAGGCCTACGGAAGGGCATTGTTTGGGATAAGAATCAATGCTTCATTCTCTTTAATTTGGCCTCCAAAAATAGTGTCTCAGTAGTTATGGTACAAGTTACCACATCATAACGGCTTATAGATTTATGCCAGCAACGGTTAGGTTTCACGAAAGAGGAGGCCGTCCACAGCAGAGTACTCACCCCGAGATAATGGCCATCAATGAACACAACAGGGAGAGAAGGAGCTTCAGAGACTCGACGGCATCGCTCATCTAACTCTTTTCCATATTCACCATTCAGAGCAATGTTTTTCTCTTCAAATTTTACCCGATGGTTTTGGAAGATCTTTCTAACAAGTTCACATCTTTCGAAGGTTGTCCTTACCACACGCAGGCAAGTGGTATAAATCACTACACGGTCAAACTCTAGGTCAGCCGAAGGTTGCTGAAAAGAAAACATTGTAGTGTTAATACATTTGCTTTTACCTTTTTACTCATTATTTTAAGGCAACTAATGAGTTTTAGCAAATGTCATATATTAAATGCATGCAATGAAAGTTGAATGAGCACTTCATTTATCAATTCTAATATGTGTCTTTTTAAAGTTAAAACATCTGCAATTGGGATAAGGCTAACAGTCAGTATAATTGAAATGGCATTTTTTTCCCTTCACAGTAGCATATCAAATAATGGTATATCTTTAAATCAATGATGTCTCAAATGGGACGCCATGTGGTAAAATAATGAATGTTTGAAATATTTTCTTTGATTTTGTGGACATTGTTCAGTTACTGTATCTGCCTCTTAAACACAAAGTAAAATAAGCTGTACAATAGTAAAGGTGAGTATTTAACCAGTTGAAAATTCTTCTACTTATAAGTTTAGCAAATAATATGTCTTCAGAGCCACAGTTTCCCAGGAATAGCAAACTCTAGAGCATAGGATTTTTCTGAGCTCTAGATAGCACAACGTATATTGTTGAATGACAGAGATCCAGCATACCCTGAGTAGGTTCTGCCACAAGGAATAAAAGGTGGAATGTCCTAGAATGGCAGTTCATGGAAGCCAACATCCAAGTGAGCATAAAAAGGAAACAAGAAATCAGACACTGGGGAAGTGTCAAAACCAAGGTGAAAGTGGTGAGAATCTTTTCCTATGTTTTCTGCTAAATCCAAAATCAGTCGCTGGTTTCCTGGAAAGTCCTGGCCAACACTACAGGTGTGCATGAAAGACCACACCAGACAGGTCCTGACATCCACAGGAAAGCTCCTCTTCTTCCTTATCCCAGTCTTACCTGAAGGAGATTGAACGGGACACAACAATACCATAAGACAAAGCTCTTCAAAGGGTTGTAGAAGTTAAAAACACAACCACACAATTTTTAAATTCCCTGTGACATCAAACCCTGATTGGAAACCATTCCAGGCAAGTAAATGTTAAAAACAGTGAGTAGGGCACTAAGCTTCATTGCTTTATATTGAAATCAGCCCATTGTGTTGCAAGCCAAATAGATAGAGAGAAATACATACACCATGAATATGTCAAGAGCATGGCCTCCTCTCCAAAGAGAGGGTGATTGTTCCTTGATAAAATAAGAAACAGTTGGAAGAATCATTCTTCCTTCAACACAGTGTAAAGGTTGATTTTTGAAAACAAGAGGCCTAGAATGACCAAGAGGTACAAAAAATGTTAAGGCAGGTCAGGAGTAAAGGAGATATTGGGAAAGGCAACAAAAGTAGCATCTCTGAGAGGAAAGCCTCACAGAGCTTTAGGCAATGGTTGGCTTGCAGGCATATGACTCCACTGTTGTCAGACATGATTATTTTATGTAGCAGACTAAGATCTGTATTTTTATAGGTGAGTTTCTGATTTCTATATGGTAGCACCTCATTATAAATGTTTTAAAAGAGTGGACCAATGTGTCCTGAAAGCTAATTATAACATAAACTTGCAAATTTACCACCACTAAAATAGAGAGAAGCTGGGCTTGGATATCAGATATATCCGGCCTCTGCCAGGGCCACATGTGGTGTCTTTGGAAAGTTAATAAGCTACTAAACTTCAGTTTTCTCATCTGTAAAAGGTGATAATAATAGCTACCTTATGGTGTACTGAGGACATTAAGCAAGAGTGAATGTGAAAACAGTTAGTGTACGACTGACAACATAATACTATTCTAACTTACACAGAGAAAAATATTACACTTTACATCATGGAATTTTTTAAGATAAAACTACAAATATAAGTCAGAAAAATTGGGGTAATTAATGACAGAAGAGAGAATTTTTACTGTGCTTTAGATTCATAAGAATTCATCTTTAGAGGAATAACCACATTTGCAGGAGTCTGGCTCTTCTTCATGTTCACAGCAAGGCATAGCAACTCACTGCAGATGTGACAGCTTTTGGAAGAGTGCCAGAGTTCTCCTTTCTCTAATCATATTATCTGTGTAATTATGTATAGTTCCTTTGGCTGCAAAAGCTGTTTTAGCCATAGTTAGTTCTACCAGAATGTTCTACTTCTTTCAACAGCTACATTTACTTTTGAAATATTTGATAAAAATACTTCTTCCCCATTGCATAGAAATAGGAAAGTTTTATTGGACTAGTCTGTTGCCACATTAACCACCTCACTTGGGATTCTCTCTGATCACAGAACAACCCTATCACCACTTCCCTAAGTCTATAAGCCATATGCATTTAAAGCATAGTAATAAGATACACTCCTATCAGGTGGCCCAGCTGGATGCCATCTCAGGTATCATAACAAAGACATCCCTTTATCTGTTCTTGAAGAGGAGCTTTACCTGGAATGAGCTGATCTCTGAGAATGCTGCGCATTAAAATATATTCGAGAGCCTTTGAAAATTCCCAAATTCCATGGCAAGGGTTTACCAATTAAATGAGAATCAGCAGAGGTAGGACCTCAGAATTAGGATTTTTTTTTTAAAAGCTCCTATGTTGATTCTATTGTGCAGCGTTGTGCTACTGATTGGAAATGCAAAATCCTAGGCCTCATCAGATTCACTGATGCAGAATTCGCATTTTAACAAGTTTATCAAATTCCCTCAGGAATTTGGATACACACTATATATTTTTAATTATATATATTTAAGGTATACAATATAATGTTTTCATTTACATATATTTAGTAAAATGATTACTACAGTGAAGCAAATTAACATATTCATTTCACACAGCTAATATTTTTGTAATAAAAGCATCTAAAACCTACTTGTTAGCAAATTTCTAGTATGCAACACAATATTATTAATTTAAACCTCATGCTGTGCATTAGATATCTGAATATATTCATCCTATATAGCTGTAACTTTACACCCTTTGACCAAGATCTCCCTATCCCCGCCAACAACCACTCTTGCCACTGGAAACCACCATTCTACTTTATTTCTGTATATTCAAGTTTTTTTATATTCCACATATGAGATCATACCATATTTTTATTTGCATTTCCAATTATTTTAGTTAGCATGATGCCCTCTAACTTCATTCATGTTATAACAAGTAGTGTTTTTAGGCTACTTTCCTTTTTAGGGATGAGTAATATTCTATTTTATATACCATAATGTCTTTCCCATTTATGTGTCAACGGACACTTAGGTTGCATCCTTATCTTGGCTATGTGAATAATGCTTAATAAATATACAGATGCAGATTTGTTTAAAAAATGGTTATTTCATTTCCTTTGGGTATTTCCCAGAAGAGTGATTATTAAATCATGGCTGTTCAATTTTTCAAGACTTTAGAGACATACATACTGTTTTCCATAAAGGCTGCACCAATCTACAATCCTAGAAACTGTGCATAAGCATTCCCTTTTCTTCACATCCTTGCTGATCTGCTATCTTTCATCTTTTTAAAAAATATTTATTTGAAAGTCAGGATTACAGAAAAAGAAGGAGACACAAGAAGAGATATTTTCCATCTGCTGGTTCACTCCCCAAATGGCCACAATGGCTGGAGCTGGGCCAGGATGAAGCCAGGAGCAAGGTGCAGTGCCTAAGCACTTGGGTAGTATTCTGCTGCTTTCCCAGGTACATCAGAAGGGAGCTGGATGAGAAGTGGAGCAACCAGGACTGAAGCCGGTGCTCACATGGGATGCCGGCGCTGCAGATGACAGCTTAACCATAGCACTTTACCATAGCACTGCCCCAATTGTTCATTTTTTTGATAGTAGAGATTCTAGCATGTTTATGATCTCACTATGGTTTTGATATTCATTTCCCTGATAATTAGTGATTTTAGTGTTATTTTGTATACCTGTGAGCTATTCATATGTCTTCTTTGGAGAAATGTCCATTCAGGTTCTTTGACCATTTTTCAATTGGGTTATTCAAATTTCTTTGCCATTGATTTATGAGAGCTCTTTATGTACTTAGGATATTAACCCTTCATCCAATATATGATTCATAAATATTTTCTCCCAATACACTGACTGCTTCTACATTTTGTTGATTGTTTCTTTTTCTGTGCAAAAGCTTTTTAGTTTGGTATAACCCAGTTTTTTGAATTTTCCTTTTGTTGGCTGACCTTTCAGTGAGTTATCCAAAAATTCCTTGTTAAGCAAGGTCAATATCAAGGACATTCCCCCTATATTTTTTTCTAGAAGTTTTACAATTTCTTGGGGCGGTGCCTCAGCTCACTAGGCTAATCCTCCGCCTGCGGCTCCGGCACCCCAGGTTCTAGTCCCGGTCGGGGTGTCAGATTCTGTCCCAGTTGCTCCTTTTCCAGTCCAGCTCTCTGCTGTGGCCCGGGAAGGCAGTGGAGGATGGCCCAAGTGCTTGGGCCCCGCACCCACATGGGAGACCAAGAAGAAGCACCTGGCTCCTGGCTTCCGATAGGCGCAGTGCGCCAGCTGTAGTGGCCACTGGGGTGAACCAATGGAAGGAAGACCTTTCTCTCTGTCTCTCTCTCTCACTGTCTAACTCTGCCTGGCAAAAAAAAAAAAAAAAAAAAAAAAAGAAGAAGAAGTTTTACAATTTCTGATGTTCAATTTAGGCTTTATCCCATTTTGTTTTGTTGTTGTTGTTGTTTTTGTTTTTTTGTTTTGTTTTGTTTTGTTTTGTTTTTTGCCAGGCAGAGTTAGACAGTGAGAGAGACAGAGAGAGTTATAGACAGTGAGAGAGAGACAGAGAGAAAGGTCTTCCTTCCATTGGTTCACTCCCCTAATGGCCGCTACAGCCAGCACTGTGCCAATCCGAAGCCAGGAGCCGGGTACTTCCTCCCAGTCTCCCATGCGGGTGCAGGGCACTTGGGCCATCCTCCACTGCCCTCCTAGACCACAGCAGAGAGCTGGACTAGAAGAGGAGCAAATGGGACTAGTATCCGGCGCCCCAACTGGGACTAGAACCCCGGGTTCCGGCGCTCAGGCGGAGGATTAGCCTAGTGAACCATGGTGCTGGCCCCCCATTTTCATTTGGTTATT